TTGAAAAAATATCTAATAGCCAAAGCGAAGACATGTTATGAACCTCTTAGGTAACGTATATATGCAGATAATACTTAACTGATTCTTAAAGCAATTTTCAATAATATCAATTCAGTAGTTCTTTAAAGCACCTTTAGAAATATAAAAAGAATAAAGAGTCAAAAATGATGTGTCCAGAATTTTATTTGGATTTCATTATATTTGTGAATATGTGTATGTGTAATGTAGACCCTAAAATCAGAATTAAAAATCACTGTAAACTGGATAATGAATCTGTCAAGGAAACTTAGAGGCCTACTGAGCATTCAGTTGTGAACCAGGCATGCACTGAATACAGACAGAAGAGCAGAAGACCTGCAAGGCCACTGAGCTATAACCCAGAGCCCAACATGAAACCCAGTGGTCAGCATTGAACAACCAGCCAGAATTGCCCCAAGGACAGGTTGTACCCACCATTGTGATCTCGATGGTCAGGAATGGGGCAAAATAAGCATCATCATAAGGGGAAGAATAAAAATTTTCCAGTATCTTGAAGCTATAGTCCATTTACCTCTGGAGTGCTAAGTGATTTTAATAGGTGCTTCTGGAGATTTTTATTTATCAATTATATTTTAATATGTCACTGTGCATATGACTAATTTTACTTTGAAGAATATTTGTTTTTAATTTGGAGAATATCTACTAATCTATCATGGGATATTAATGTTCTGTGGAACATAGTTTAAGAATTGCTGCCTACCAGATTTAGATGAAGGTCAGGTTAACATATCTGTAATACTTTTCTCATGTCTGCATTTTTCTGAGATAAAGTGGGATACGTGGGATAAGAGGTTAAGATAAGTGCAGAGCAAATGGTAGGTGCACTAGTCAGAAACTAAGGAAATTGAGGCAGGAGAAATGAAAAAGTTAATTATTGGCTACTTGACAATTAGTTTTTCTAACCAGATAATAGCATATAAATTTAAAGTATGTGAAATGGGACTTATGAGATAAATTACTGGCAATCTTTTGAAGGAGACTAGAAGAAACTGAGAACAACAAAGAAGTTTGGGTATCTAATGGACGTTTGTAATGGTGGAACAGAAGGGAACTAGGAAGATATGAACTGCTAAGTGAGATTCATTTGAAATTTTGTTTAACAATATTCCTGGTGGTGACATACCCTAGTTTGCCGGGAAAGAAATCACCTGCTTGCTTTGGCTTACATTCTCTGGCTGTCAGTGGGTAACACCAATTATGCTCTGGGAATATACAGATGAAGCATTGTTTATCCTCCATATAAAACTTTACACGTGAATAGGTAACTAAAAACCATGAATATTTATAGCTCTAAATTATACAAAGCAAGGTCCTCCACATTGGAAATCAATTAAATTTTAGCTTCCCACAGGATTTATTAACCTCCAGACTACCTGTCTCTCCTTTCCCAATGAGTTTCCTATAAATAAACATGACATATAACTCTCTATGTGTGTGTGTGTGTGTGTATGTGCATGTGTGTTAGGCTGGGTCAATAGATGAATGAAGCATAGTCACTGGAATATCAATACGTACTTCTAAATGTAAGTTGGCAGACTTATTTTCAGGTCACAAGGCCCAATGTACGAGGGTAAACTGATTTTAGAAAGATGCTCTTTCTCTCTCCCTCTCCCTTTCTGCTACCGTTATTCCTCAGTATATTCTCCTTATTTGTAAACGTCTGAACTGTCACAGAGGTCCAAGTCTTTTCTAGCCACTAGCTAAATCAATGGATTTACAGAGATCAAATCATTATGTTATACACCTTAACATTATAAAGTTATGTCGATTATATCTCAATAAAACTGAGGGGAAAACAAACAAAAACAATGGATTTGAATACTGTAGATACTTGGAACAGAGGAATCATCCACCCAGTAGCATCAGGCTGAGTGTGTTCCTCTTCTAATCCCCAAACCCTGTAGCTCTGTGTAAGTGCAACCATACATATGTCTCTATGTAGTTAGTTACCTATGTCAAATGGATTGCATTCACTGACTAGAAGTTTGTCACCTCTTATCGTTTTTAAGAGTGGTGAAATTTTTAACTCATTAAGAATTTAATGAAATTTTGTTTAAACAAAAATTCTAGATTGATTTAACAATCAATCAAACTTTCTAATGTGAAGTAACACACATACAGACAAATGCATACAGCATAAATTTAGAGTAGTTTAATTGGTGATTATATACCAAAGCCCATGTAACCAACACGCAGGTCAGGAAATTGAAGATTGACAGCATCCCAGGAGTCCCTTCCTGATCCAATCCCTCTCTCCCAACTAGAGGTAACTGTTACTTTCCTTTGTAGTTTTACAAAGTAGGTATGCTTTTTTAAGTATTACATTGTTTTCTCATTTGAACTTAATAAAAGTTGATTTGTCTCTTTGTTGTTTTTTTTCCCTTGGTCTTTTTTCCATGTTTTGTTTTTGTGATTCAACCATGTTGGTACATGCATAAAAATTAGGAAAACTCATTAGTTAATACATGTCATTTTTTGGTAGAATAACTTTGTACATAAAAGCTAAGTATAGAAAAAAGACTGTAGTTGCCCCTGGCAACTGGAAGAGAAGATATTGGTCTTTTTTCATTCTACATTAATCTTCCAAATCAGAGTATAGTCGACTTCCACTTATTAGTTGGCTTACACAAATGTCTTTTTCCCCTTATTGCTATCCTTGAGAATGAGGGCCGTATTCTAGGGCTTGCACTACTGGCTGGCTTTTGGTACAACTCACTGGCAAGAATGAACACCATGGAACATAGCCTAGAAATAGACACTGAAGTAGGTCTCCTTGATCTGAACGGCAATACCAAAGCTGGTTTGGTAAGCAACCCAAAAATGTAACATTTCAGCAAAGTTCCCACATAAAGGTGAGTTTCTATTCTACTTGGTGTCTAATACCTTCTTGACTCGGTCTGAGAGAAAATGAGAAATGTTGCCACAAATACTATCAGTATAAAACTATTTTAATATTTGTAAAAAGTTAAGATAAAAAGAAAAAAACAGATTTCATATTTTCCCCCTCATAATAAGTTCCCAGGTGTTTTCATTACAGTTTTGATACAATAAGTAAATGGTCTTTGAGTGCAGCAAAGTAAAACGTTTTCTACCATGAAGAAACTTATACTATTAATATTTCTGGACCAAGATCATAGACGTAAGATATACTGTGAGATAGTCAACTTGATTTACTTCTCTGATGAGTATGCACACTAGGTATGTGTATGTAGGTACATGAATCAGGGAGATAAGCCGGCCCTAAATTTGTCCTCAAGTGTTTCTTTTCGACTTTGCTTCATGTCTCTATTTCCCATTTCAAAAGCAATCCATTAAAAGTAATTTTGTTCTCCACAGGCTACTAGTAAGTCTTTTGCTCATTTTTAGCTAAGTGTGTCATGACTAAGTAAAAGAGGAAAAACAGCTAACCTACTGAGGGATTAGGTAAAACAGACAGATAATTAACATCACTGGGCAATATACATTTTGAATTTGTAGTCCTAAAGTGAAAACTATTATTTACCTTGAAATCATACTACACTTCTAAATCTTGAAATATATCTTCTCATGTTTACACTGGGGTTTTACCTATATATTTTTATAGCATTTCCTTAAAACATTATTTCATTTTTCATCTGTCCCTACCCACATATACAATAAAGTTATCAAGCTATCATTAGTTTACTGTTTACAAAGAACTTTCTTGTCCACATCTCTTTTGATCTCCCACACAACCCTATTAGTCAGACAGATTTCATCAACAAATATTTACTGGATATCCTCCAGATCTATATTTCACACTGTGGCAAAGAGATGGTACAATGTGTAAGCAAATACAGTCCATACTCTCATGAAGTTTACCTTTTGGTGTGGAAGCCAAAGGACAAATTACTCCAATTAATTATAAGTGACTGGATAACTATAAGTGTCAAATGTTCTGAAGGAGAAGCAAAGACTGCTAATATATGGTGAAGAAAGTGAAAAGAACTTTTACCATGTATTGAAAGTATCATGTCTGTTTTCTTTTCCTTCCTTCTTTCCTCCTCTCTCTGTTTCTCTTTTTAAGTACACACTATACTTTTTCTTCTCTTTTCAGGGCAACGTTATAGTTTTTGTAGGGACAAGTGAGTTTTTTTTAATCACTTGATATAGTGTTCATAAATCTTGAAACCATCCAAGAAAGTGGTATATAGTTTTCTCAGATATGTCTTCAATGCCTATATGATAATGTCATTTTGGTTTTGTTGTCAACGATGTCATCACTGTTGTTCTTGCTGTCTTCTCTCCCCCCCACTGCTGCCAGTAAGGGAAGGAATGTTGAATTCATAGTAATTCTAATCTTTTGAGCCCTCAGGGGATTTAAAAAATAATCTTTACTTATTCTCTCCTGTGGCATTTATCCCACAGATTTAGTTATCATTTTTTTTAAAGTGGAATAAAGTTGTAAGTAGAGGCTTCTCCAATTTTTGAAGAAAAAGAGGAACAAATTTCAGCATAAAACCTAGCAATTACTAACCAAACCTAATAGCCTGGGTTGAGCCCTATCTCGAGGAGCTATCCTCAGTAGAGAAAACAGAAAGTTTGAGTACATCTGATAGGGTTAATAGAAAGTTACATTAAGTGTTAGAGCTCATTACAATTTTCACATAAAATATTATCTGATCATCATTTTGATTTTATATGAAAAAAACACTATTATTAGCACCCAGTATTGAATAATTATCTGAGGCTCTGTTTCTGAGGCTTGTCCAAGGACAGTGAATGGTGAAAACGATACTTTAGAGGCATATAAGCAAAGCAAAAGTTACCTGGAGTATTTTAGATTCTAAGATTATCTTCCTACCAATGGCAAAATCAAATATCAGGAAAGCAAGGAATCTCACACTGAAATACACAGAAACCCGATGTTTTAACTCAATCAAGAAAATTCCCTTTCTCAATTTTGCAATAGGAAATAAGGAAATTCAAATTTGTATGCATACCTTACTTCCTCGAGGTAGCAACGCTTATTGGTTGATGCAGTTGATAAAAATGTTGCCACGATCTCCAGGAGTCTTCAAAGCTGCACTACTTCTTGAGAGAAAAATCTACAATAGTACAGAGAAGAGAGTGGCCTGTTGGCATAAAAAGTCACAGCACACTGTCATCCATCCCATAGATACTAATGCCAGGAAAGGGAGACCTCTTTAGGACTCAATCTATGGCTGCGGTTTGGAGCAATAAAGGAAAGATCTGAGAGGTCAGAGTCACAGAGAAAATATCTCTATATTACAGAAGTGAAGAATTCCATTTTTATCCACAATAGCTAATACTGTCTAGAAACTTCTCAGGCAAGCAAAGAAGAAAAAAAAAAATCAAGCTCACCCCAGATGTCCAGAATATGCACCTTCATTTATTGGGCAGTCATATATGAGAAATGACCTCTCCGGAGGGTGCAATATGAATGATTAAAGCTCCCTTTAATGCTCCAAACTACTTCCAAAGCTCAGTGGGAACTCTGTGTTGCATTACTGGAAAAAAATTGAGTAAATATACCATTTTTCCTCTTTAGACCTCATTCTTGACTTTTTCCTAAATACTCTCTCCAATATAGGAATCACTATTTTTTTCTTCTCCCAAACGTTATAGATGTTATAGCTATATAATTTAGAACAACGAGTGCTTGGGTTTAATCATATAAGAGCATTTCGCCTATTCTAAATACAGGATGTGTGGGTTTTCTTATTTCTAACAGAAGATTTAAAATGTTTTATTTGTTACAATAAATATGTCTTTAGCTAAATGAATTCAACTGGCTTCTACTTTATTGGAATCCATGCTAAATGTAGGAATCGCTTGGAATGAATGGACTTTAAAGAATATACTTGAGAGTGGGGGAGTTAGTCTCTTTTCTAGGAAATGAATAATCAGAAAAATAATAGTTCACCCAGAGAAGTGAAAGTCAATGAACAACATGGAAGCTGACTGTGAAAGCTTTCAGAAGATAGATAAAGCCAGTTAGTATTTGGGATTACAGATATCATGAAATATTATAAAATAATGATATCCAGAGGTAAGGACAGGGAATGAAGAAAAAATAGAAGAAAATTTGAGCATCTATGGATATAAAGATACACTATCCCAAGCATGGAGCTTTTCTCAATTAAAGCAATGGTCTTTACTAGAATGTTTTTGCATATTAATCCCCTAACTCAAAGTAGACACTCACATAATTGTGGAAAGGAAGGAGGAGGGTAGGGGAAAAGAGAGTGAGAAAGACAGAAATGAAACAGAAGCCAATGATGAGCATCCCAGAACCTTTCCTGTGCCCTCTTGACTCAGAATCATCCCTAATACTTGTCTGTCATTTCTCCTCACCTTTTCCTGCCCTAGGTAAGAGATACCAATTTTGCATTCTAGCCCCATCTTCTTCCACTTATATCTTACTGCCTTTTTGTAAAGCACACCAAGTTGGAAAATTCAGTAAAGAATTAATTCTTGTCTATCTCCAACCAGGTCCAAGGCAGAAGGCAGAAGGTTGACCCTCCCACTTCGCAAGGAAAGAGGTAACAGCTGTATTACTAGGTAATTTAACCAGATCATACAGTGGGTGGAGGCAGTATCCTTTTTGAATGGATGCACTGAACTAAGAAAAGACCACAGAACTGATTCCTATAGAGGTTTTTGTTTGTCTGGGTTTTTTTAGTCGTCAAGTTATAACTCCTAATTAATAGAGAGCCAAACTCTTTTATGTGAGTAAAATTCCAGAAACAAATCCAATTGCATATCCCACTCCAGTCAATAAATCAAGTGAGATAAAAGAATGAGTCACCATGCTGGTGTCCTTTTCATAAAGTAAAAGGTTTTTTTCTTCCCCCAGAAAGGGGGGCTTACATGCTAAAATTTTCTTTCTGATAAAAGAGGATGAGCTGATTCTCATGACTGAGAAAGAGATTAGCTACTGAGTAAGAGTCATAATGCTCACAGGAACCACATATAGCATTAAGCATGGAAGTCTTGTAGTCTTATGATCCATTGTATGATTTATACATAATTCAGGTCCCAGAACTGGTAGTGCTATACTTACCAGTTGTATCCGTCATAGCTACACCTTCCATACCCCTATTTAGCAATGGTTGAGGAGGATACCTAATGCTCTCTAAGATATGAACCAACTCAAGAAAAGGTGACCTGAGTGTATTAGCTAGCCACAGCTTAGCTTGCATTTAGGCTCCATTCAAAAAAAATAGGAGAACTTGCTATGCCCCCTGACTTCCCCATCTTTAAATGACAAACAGACAGAAGCAATGTGCCAGTGACCTACATTAACCCTTAACTTAAAGCAGATAGAAAGAACAATTACACTAATTGGTACCAGATTCTGTTCTATGCAATAATTCAGTATATACGTATAACAATCTAATTCTAACATCACCACCACAAGCAAGATAATATTTTTACCTTTTTGCAAAAGAAAAATAGAGAATTCGCAAAGCTAATAATTTGCCTATGATCAGACTATTGGTAAAAATTTGAACCTGGCTCTATTTGACTCAAAATCTTATACTATTTCCATGCTGACATAATTTTTTTTCCCTGACACACAAAAAGCTGTAAAATAATTAAGTATACAACTTGATGAGTTTGGAGGTAAGTAGACAGGTATGAAATTATCACCACAATCTAAGCTATAAGCCTATTCATTACCACTGAAAGCTTTCTCCTGTCTTACTATTATTACTATTTGTGATAAGAACATGAGATCTAGTCTCATAGCAAAATTTTTAGTATACAATACAGTATTATTAACTATAGGCACTATGCTGTACAGTAGATCTCTAGGACTTATTTGTCTCATATAACAGAAACTTTGTATTTTTTGACTAATACTTCCCTGCTTTCTGCTTCCTCTAGCCTCTGGCAACCACCATTCCACTCTCTGCTTCTATGAGTTTTACTATTTTAAATTGCTCATATAAGTGGTACCACATCATATTTGTCCTTCTATGCCTGGCTTATTTCACTTAGGATGTTTTCTAGGTTCATCTGTATTATGGTGAATAAGATTTCCTTCTTTTTTTTAAGCTGAATAATATTTCATTGTATGCGTATACCACATTTTCTTTAGCGACTCCTCCCGATGGTGGATTTTTAGGTTGCTTCCATGTCTTGGTTATTGTAAATAATGTTGTAATGAATATGAGAGTACAGATATCTCTACAAGATCCTGATTTAAATTCCTTTGCATACACACCAAAAAGTGGTATTGCTGAATCATATGGTAGTTCTATTTTTAGTTTTTTGAGGAACGTCCACATTGCTTTCCATATTGGCTTAACCAATTTATATACCCACTTAACAGTATACGAGAGTTCCATTTTCTCCACATCTTCTTGGTGAGATAACATTTATCTTTTTTTTTTAAATAAAAGCTATTCTACCAAGTGTGAGGTGATATCTCATTGCAGTTTCATTTGCATTTCCCTGATGATTAGTGATATTGAGTTTTTTTCATTTATCTGTTGGCCATTTGCATGTCTTCTTTGGAGAACTGTGTACTTGGTTCCTTTGCCCCTTTTTTAAAATCAAGGCATTTATTTATTTATTGCTACTCAGTTGTATGAGTTCTTTATATGTTTTGGATAGTAAACCCTTCGAGACATATGATTTGCAAATATTATTTTCCCATTCTGTAGGTTGTCACTTCATTTTGTTGATTTTTCATATATATATATATATATATATATATATATATTCTGCAAACAGATAATTTTACTTCTTTCTTTTCAATTTGAATGCCTTTTAAATTCTTTCTTTGACTAATTGCTCTGGCTAGGACTTCCAATACAATGTTTGAATAGAAGTAGAAAGAGTGAGCATCCTTGCCTTGTTCCAGATCTCAGAGACAAAAGTTTTCAGTTTTTCACCATTGAATATGATGTTAGATGTGGCTGTTTCCTACATAGCCTTTATTGTAGTGCAATGAATTCCTTCTGTACCTAAATTTGTTGAGAATTTTTATCATGATAAGGTGTTGAATTTTGTGAAATACTTTTCCTGCATCTATTGAGATAATGTGATTTTAATTCTTCATTCTGTTAATGTGGTATATTAATTGATTTGCACATGCTGAACCATTCTTGCACCCGAGGGATAAATCACACTTGGTCATGCTATATGATCCTCTTAATGTGCTCTTAAATTTGGTTTACTAATACTTTGTTGAAGATATCTGCATCCATGTTAAAAAATCCATGTTCAGGTATATTCACCTGAACTTTTCTTGTGGTATCTTTTTCTGTCCTTTGATATCAGGGTGATACTGATCTCAGTGTTTATAAATGTTCCCTTTTCTATTTTTTGAAAGAGTTTGAGAAAGATTGATAATTCTTTAAATGGTCTGTAGAATTCACCTGTGAAGCCATCTGGTCCTGGGCTTTAATTATTTTTAAGTATAAAGTTATTGATTACTGATTTAATTTCCTTTATCATACTGTCTTTATCCAGCAGAAAATTATAGCTTGAAATACTGTGGAAAATGTATTAATTTAGCATTTTGTTAAATACCTTCTAGGCACAAGGCTGTACACAATCATTAAATTTTATGAAGAGAAACGTATTCAATATTTTTTTTTAATTTCAGAGACAATACACTATGTAAAATTTTCAGGAGAATTTATTTCTTTGTAGTAGTTTTTATTCCATTCATTTGTTCAGCAAGTATGTATTCAGTACTACTAAGTACCATGCTCTGTTCTAGCACCTGTGATGGAGCTATGTGCAAAGGAGACCATCATGTCTCCTTTGTCATCATGGAGCCCACCTTCTCTTTTATGTAAGTGTAAGTATGTTTGTGTATTGCCTACAAACGTAAAAGAAGTGTTTTAGAAATGGAAGATTGAACAGGAAGAGTGAAAAATGAAGGGTGAAAAAGTTTAGGTGAAGCACAACAAAGCAGAAATTTCACAACATATAGTGATCATCTGTGTGTTCAGGCCTAAGCCCTAGTCACAGAACTCTAAAAAAGAGAAAAGAAGAGAAAAATATGTGTTATTTATTTTAGGCCAATAATAATTTTCCTTAGTTTTGGAAATTTTAAGGTTCATTTT